TCATTTTTTGTCTGATTGTCAAAATTGTCTGATTGTCATTTTTGAGTTTGTGCACTGGGTTATCAGTTTGGACAGTTAGTGATCCCAGGTAGCTTTGAGAAATCTTTCTGTGAGGTGGGAAGATATACATTGATTAGGACGATAGCTAGGGGCCCAATTTTTAATTCAAGGACTAACACTAAAGAGTCACAGAAGGAGTGAAAAGAGATAGGGTACAGAATTTGGAGGAAATAACAATGTCGTCCCTGCCAAGAGCTTGTCCACTTTCTTGGTTGCATGTTGCAGTGAGAAAAAAATGCATAATGGTTATCCAGTTCCAAGGGTTCTAAGTTGAACTGGTACAGGAAAAAGATAAAATTGGGGCCAATCTGTTTAGCATGCAAGCCTGCTGTGTTCCAAGAGAGTAACTGTATAGCAAGGTACAATGGTAAATGTCATTTGATTGGAGCTAGCGTCATTGTTGATCTGGAGGCATCCAATACAGCTAACTCTGGGCTGGCTAACTAACAAGCTACTTAAATGTGAGCTTGATGTCCTGCCTATTCAGTGACTCTGTAGCTGGCTTGAAACCTTTACTTAAATTATATAAATATGATAGATAGATAGATAGATAGATAGATAGATAGATAGATAGATAGATAGAGCAAGTTGATCAAAAGCTCTTCATCAAACTTGGCAGGAAATCAGAGGCCTCCTGATTTTACATGGTTAAATAGTTTCCTCCCCCCCCCCTTTAGTATACATAAAGAAAGAGGAAAAGAAATACAGAATCCACTGATCCAAGGTTCAGTCAACCTTGATTTATAGCCAAAAGGCCCAAATACACTGATCCAAGGTTGTAAATTTTGAGTATCTTTCCATTGTAAAAGAGTAATCTATTTCACTATACCCCACACTTTGTAAATCTATAATTCTTTGTGGTATAATTGGTATAATTAAAAATCAGATCTTGAAACCATATTACTCTTTGAAAAGCCATAATAGGTAAACTTATGGATATTAAACAAAAATGCAAAATAGGTACTTCATTTTTTTTTTTTAGTTATAGTTATTTTTGGTCAAAGACCAAAATATGAAGCAGATTACAACACAGTACAATCCAATTCAGTCAGGTGAAAACAAAGGGAAAAAAGAGGAAATTTAAGCATTATTACAGTTTAAATGATTATATTTCTAGTCATAAGGTGAAGCATGCAAAGCAAAACATATCACTTATATTAAAGCAGGGGAACATGTAAAGAGCATAGAAAGAAAAAAAATTAATATGAATCAGCTTATGAAAAATAAATTACAAGATTGCTAGACAGTTTTCTCACAGCAGTACTGATTACAAGAAATATGGTAACTATTCTCGAGCAAGGCACTTCTTCCCAAACATTTTCAAAGTGTGAATATAGTAGCCCTAATATATACTAATGTTCATACAGGGATATATTATACATAACTGATAAAGTGAGTGGCAAACCATGGTAGTTTGTGTGGTAACAAATTCAATTTTTAGGTTCATGAATTTGATGAATTTCAGTTCATCATTTTCTAAGGATTGTCAAATAAGTGCTCTGTGTGCATTATTGTTGAAATTATTATGTCACTATTATTATGGCAAGAAAAAAGAGAATAGTTATCTATGATTACTTAATTCCTCGTTACTTTAAAAAATATTCCCAAAGGAAGACTCATTTAGACATCAAATTAAATGTTTTGGAAATTAAGATCTTGCTCTGCTTTTCGTCTATCTAAATGATTTAAGAGCTCCATACACTGGAAGAGAAACAGAAATGTAACAGAGAGAGTATTTCATATTTAATAGTATTTCTATCTTTTATGTACCTCCTTGGTACTGATGTTTTATTGTTCCTCATGCTCATAACTCTGACACAGATTTTTTGAAGTCAATTCAGCATCCCCTAAATGGTATCATAGTCACATCTTTGAACAATGGAAGAGGTGACAAAAGATGCAGACAATTACACATCTCATTCCTGTCCATACAAATAAAAGCATAAATATATAGGATGACTTAAAATAACATTTAATTATTCTTCCTTTAGTGACTACATGTTATTTAATTCACCCCTTAAATTTGGGTTGGTTTTTTATTTGTATGGTCAGAAATGAACTTAAGCACTGCATAGAAAAAGTATATCTATCTGAGCATGAAGACTGGATGATTATTAGAAATCTGCATGAATACAGAATGAAAGTCTGATTCAAATGGTTTGCAACTAATTCAATCTTCCCCAACTGTCTGGTGCTCATCTCTTGGAGCAATGGAAAAGGTGGCCAGAGATGCAGACAAGTATCCATTCCATTGCATTTTCATGGAAATACCAAGGCATAAATATATCATGTAGATTAATATAATATTTAAGCAACAAAAGAAGAACCCTGTAAGCCCTGTAAGCCCTGTAAGGAAAAAGTACTGTATTCATAGACGCTCAATACAGAATGAAAGTCTGTTTCTCCATTTTGAAATTCAGTCACAAGAGGTCACTGTTTCC